TATATATAGCATAATACATAAACTAATAGAGTTGCAGACAATATTTGTGTCAGATGATGTTATATATTATGTATTACTTATATAATATAAATGTTTATGTATTTAATAGCATTAACAGGTTTATTAGAAGGGGAGGGACAAACTAATGCAAACATTTAAACTAAAATCAAATAATGTTTATTCCCGGTCAGGTTGGTATCAAAAATGGGTGCGTTTTTCTTCTTACTGGCGACCCCAGAGCAAACTCTATGCATTTAAATCAAATTCACATCAGTAATAATGCTGATTGTCTCCATGATGCTCAAACAAACAAACAGCGGTGTCAGACCCTAACAGCTGAAATGCAGTACTCTGAGCTCAGTACAGTTTGTGCTCAACTGGTTTTGGTGGTACAATCTTGCCAGTTGAATCACAGTTATCAGTGGCAGACACGTTGCTTGTAATACTGCAATATCAGTTACATCATTTAGGTAAGAAATGCACAGAATAAACATATTAGGCAAATTAATCATAATTATTTTCCTGCAGGTAAAACTCCTGCACATATTTCCTTATGAAATTGGTTTGCCCCTGTGAAAAAAAGTGTACAAGAAAATGTACTTAAATGTGAATTGAATACATGTAGTAATATTGTTTGACACATAATTAATTGTAATTAAACACAAATGGATAGGTGACAAGGAGGCTCAGTGGTTAGCACTGTGGATTCACAGCAAGAAGGTTACTGGTTCGAGTTCCTGCTGGGTTTGCTGGCATTTCTGTGTGGAGTTTGCATGTTCTCCCCGTGTTGGCATGGGTTTCCTCTGGGTGCTCCGGTTTCCCTCACAGTCCAAACACATGCGCTATTGGTACATAGATTAACTAAATTGTCGGTAGTGGATGAGTGTGTATGGGTGTTTCCCAGTACTGTGTTGCAGCTACTATGTGTAAAACATGCTGGATGAGTTGGCGGTTCATTTTACTGTGGCAACCCCTGATGAATAAATGGACTAAGCCGAAGGAAAATGAATGGATTACTAATAAATTATTCTGTAAAAAGGGATTATGTACAATATATTTTCCTTTAGCTGTACTTAAAAGCTG